AACCCTAACCCTAAACCCTAAACCCTAAACCCTTCAGAGTCACCATAGTAGTCAGCGTGGGCCCGGTGCTCTCCACATTTCTTCACGGCTGGCCCCCATTAGGTCTCATAGTGGTGCTGAGAAGGTTGGCTTTGAAAAACTCAGGTGTCAGCCTTGGTTTAGGGTTTAGGGTTTAGGGTTTAGGGTTTAGGGTTTAGGGCTGAAAGGATTCCCCTTCACAAGGGGCTCTTCTCCCAGTGGCCCCTCCTAAGAAACTTAAAAAGAAAGCGAAGCCCAAGTGGAGCACCTAAACCCTAAACCCTAAAACCTAAACCCTAAACCCTAAACCCTAAGCCCTAAACCCTAAACCCTCAACCCTAAACCCTCTTAAAAAGAAAGCGAAGCCCAAATGGAGCACCGGTGGGATTCGGAAGTTTGTAAGTGCCTGCGAAGGCGCGGCTGCTTCAGCCAACCTGTACGCCTGCTTCTGAGACCAGTTGGGGTTAGGGTTTAGGGTTTAGGGTTTAGGGTTTAGGGTTTAGGGTTTAGGGTTTAGGGTTTAGGGTTAGGGTTTAGGGTTTAGGGTTCAGGGTTCAGGGTTTAGGTACCGCATAGACGCCCTTGACAAGAGTATTCCTGGGAGGATAGTTGGTTTCTACCGTGAGGGTCTGGGGTGCATCCTTTTGGAAGTCCAAGCGCTGAGACCCAAGCCCTCAGCCCTGCGCCTTAAGCCCCAAACCCTAAACCCTAAACCCTAAACCCTAAACCCTAAACCCTAAACCCTAAACCCTAAACCCTAAACCCTAAACCCTAAACCCTAAACCCTAAACCCTAAACCCTAAACCCTAAACCTAACCCTAAACCCTAAACCCTAAACCCTAAACCCTAAACCCTAAACCCTAAACCCTAAACCCTAAACCCTAAACCCTAAACCCTAAACCCTAAACCCTAAATCCTAAACCCTAAGCCCTAAACCTTAGGAAAACCCCAACATCTTCCGCAGCGCCGAAGGTTCGTGCCTTGCCGGGCCGCCCGAGCACGCTTGACACGGAAGACACCCCTAAACCCTGAACCGCCAAACCTTAAAACCCTAAACCCTGAACTCTGATTCCTAAACCCCAAACCCTGACCCTAAACCCTAATCCCTAATCCCTAATCCCTAAACCCTAAACCCTAAACCCTAAACCCGGCTGGGAGGGTGAGTTTGACTTGGGTGGGCGCGCTAGCTGGAGACCCTCGAGCTGGCCATGTTTGACATCCTTCACAGTACACGTTCGCTTGTAGTCAGCGTCACCCCTACTGGAAGACAGCCTGTCGCGCTCGCCCAAGGGGCGATTCCAGTTTTACCCTAAACCCTAAACCCTAAACCCTAAACCCTAAACCCTAAACCCTAAACCCTAAACCCTAAACCCTAAACCCTAAACCCTAAACCCTAAACCCTAAACCCTAAACCCTAAACCCTTTAAGTGACAGCTCGTGGGTTCCCCCCCATCCCGCCTTTCTCCGCCAGGTCACCGTGCGAGCGCTGCTCGTGACGTGCGCGGGCCCAAAGCGGCTGCAGTTCGCTTGAGGTTTAGGGGCTTTTAGGGTTTAGGGTTTAGGGTTTAGGGTTTAGGGTTTAGGGTTTAGGGTTTAGGGTTTAGGGTTTAGGGGCGTTTGGGGGTTGTAGGGTTCTTTGGGCTGACGGTTAGTATTGAGCTTTGAGGGTGCTGAGGGCTTCAGGGTTTTCAGCCCGCTTTGGGCATGTTGGGTTCGCTAAGTTGCTTGTTGGGTTCTTAGGGTGTTTGTTTTGGGGTTTTAGGGCTTTCAGAGCGGTAGGGGTTTTAGGCGTGTTAGGGTTTAAAAGGGTTCAAAGGGTTCAAAGGGACTTAGGGTTTTAAGGGTTTGCAGGGTTTAAAGGTTTCGAAGCTTTAAAAGCGTTGAAGAGGTTTACAGGCTCCAGAGGGCTTTAGAGGCCTTAACGTCTTCAACAAGTTTAAGAAACTTTCAGGGTGTTAAGGGGTTTACTGTACAGACCTCAACGGCTCTGAGGTTTTAAGGGTGTTAAGGGTTTATAAGGTGATTCCCTTTCTTACCCTAAACTCTAAACCCCACAAAACCTGATTTAGGATACTTACACTTTTATCCCTCAACCCTAAACCCTAAACCCTAAACCCTAAACCCTAAACCCTAAACCCTAAACCCTAAGCCCTAAACCCTAAACCCTAAACCCTAAACCCTCAACCCTAAACCCTAAACCCTAAACCCCAAACCCCTCTTATCAGCACTCACACATGAACCTTCAAGCACAACCCAGGCCCGGCCCTGGCAGCCTGCGACCTCCCGGAGCTTCGCGGGGCCCCGTGGCCTCTGGCCTTGGGGCAGCTGGGCCCAGGGCCTGGTTTGGGGTTTAGGGTTTAGGGTTTAGGGTTTAGGGTTTAGGGTTTAGGGTTTAGGGTTCAGGGTTCAGGGTTTCAGGGTTTTAGGGTTTTGGGCGGGGAGGTGGGGGTTTTCGGGTTTGAGGGTCGTTTTGGGGAGGTGGCTTAAGATTAAGGGCTTTAGATGTTGGGCCTGCGCCTCATATTTCGAGGTTGGGCCACGGTTTAGGGTTTCGGGTTTAGGGTTCTAACCTTATGTGGTGGGGTATTTGGCGCGTGTAAAGCCGTACTTGCAACTACCCACGGGACCGTCATGTTTCGGTTCCGTAGGGTTTAGGGTTTAGGGTTTAGGGTTTAGGGTTTAGGGTTTAGGGTTTAGGGTTTAGGGTTTAGGGTTTAGGGTTTAGGCCCTTCAAAGAAGCTGACAGCTGCCCAAGAACCTTGATACCTCCAAAGGAAAGGGGGTGGGGAGCTGGCGGTTTCTGGGCAACTGTGAGGGTGATAAGTAGGGTGACGAGAGTTTTAGCCAGTTTATGCTTTAATTTGGGCACTTAAAAGTCCTACCTAACCTTAAACCCTCGACCCTCGACCCTCGACCCTCGACCCTCGACCCTCAGCTCTCAACCCTCAACCCTCAACCCTCAAGCCTAAACCCTCAACCCTCAACCCTCAACCCTCAACCCTCAACCCTCAACCCTCAACCCTCAACCCTCAAGCCTAAACCCTCAGCTCTCAACCCTCAACCCTCAACCCTCAACCCTCAACCCTCAACCCTCAAGCCTCAAGCCTAAACCCTAAACCCTAAACCCTAACAGATGACAGCTTCCAGAGGCCTTGATTTGGCCGGCGGTGGTACGGACGATGCAGCACCGGCCTTGGGCTAAGAGGGGGGGTGCCCTGGGGGGGGGGGCTCATATAATACGGATTGTAGTCTTTGGGGTATATTCGGGTTACCCCCTATTTTGGGAAATGCCCATCTCTAGCACCATCTGACCTCATGTGGCACCATCACTATCGTATTCACGATCATTACTACCTTCGCGCTCAAGATCACTGTCTTTATCACCGTCGCAATTGCGATTACTATCACTTACTATCATCAGGACGACGAGGACGAATAGTAGGAGTGCTGGTACTATTGCTAAGTATTCGATTCGATACTAAAGACTTTGTACTAGATCCTCATCATCAGTATAAAGGCTACGTACGAAATACTGAATAATCACATCAGTACTAGTACCCGTATTCATACTCATACATCATCACTGTGGTTCTTCTTCTCATTATTATGTGCTGGAGATTTCTATTCGACATTCTTATTGTCGGTGCTAATCATCATCATCATCATCATCATCGTCGTCGTCATCAACGTCATCCAAACATTCCGGTATTGTTATTTATTATGGCTGTTATCGATCTCATTACTGTTTCGATTGCTATTTGTAGTGTCATCTCAATGTCCCATTTTGCGTAGGGTTTCGTTCTGAGTTGAGGTCGAGGCTTTGTTCGTTTGGAGGTTTATGGGTAGTTCTCGGTGGGGTTAGAAGGTAATCAATGGCTGGTTATGATAACCCTAAACCCCAAACCCCAAACCCCAAACCCTAAACCCTAAACCCTAAACCCTAAACCCCAAACCCCAAACCCCAAACCCCTAAACCCTAAACCCTAAACCCCAAACCCCAAACCCCTACTTATGGCTGCCGCTGGCAGGCGGTCCGCGGCCTCACAGAGCCCTGGGAAGCCTTCGCGATCGATTTTGCAAGCTTGTAGCTGGGCCTCGAGTTTAGGGTTTAGGGTTTCGGGTTTAGGGTTTGGGGTTTAGGGTTTGGGGGCTTGCAACTGGGCGTCGATATGGATCCTTGAGGTTTCAGGGTTTAGGGTTTGGGGTTCAGGGTTTAGGGGTTCAGGGTTTAGGGTTTAGGGTTCAGGGTTTAGGGTTTGGGGTTTAGGGTTTAGGCGTTCAGGTTTAGGGTTTGGGTTTTAGGGTTTAAAGTTTAGGGTTTCAGGGTTTAGGGCTAGGGTTTTAGGGTTTAAAGTTTAGGGTTTCAGGGTTTCAGGGTTTCAGGGTTTCAGGGTTTCAGGGTTGAGGCTCGTGTCTGTGCTACACTGGTTTCATGGCTTCGTAGCTTGGAGCCATGTTACCGAAGTGTCGCCTGGAGCCATGATGAAGTCCTGGTTGAAGAACAGATTGCGAACGCCCCCCAACCTTGCGGCAGGCCCACATGCCCGCGCGCTGCGACTTCTCGTGTGCGTATCGCACGACCCGGGGCAGTGGCCTCAGGGAGACTGGGAGTCTGGCAACAGATTCGGAGTTTAAGCTCGAAGCCCCCTACTTGGAGGTTCATGGGTAGTTCGAACTGGGGTTCTAAGCGCGAGAACTCTGGTTATAAATGGTTCTACCCTCATTTTGGGGTACATATAACCCTGCTTATGACTTCATAGCTACCCATGAGCCTTCAAGCAAGCGATGCAGTGGAGCCTTTCACCGCTGCCTCTCTTCCCTGGCGACCCTAAACCCTAAACCCTAAACCCTAAACCCTAAACCCTAAACCCTAAACCCTAAACCCTAAACCCTAAACCCTAAACCCTAAACCCTAAACCCGATACCCTAAACGCAACCCCAAACAGGTGGCGCATGCTGTAGCTTGGTGGTGGGACCTGGACATGGGCCTGGACCTTGAATGGGGCAGTTGGGGGGTTCAGGGTTTAGGCTTGGGAGGGCCCCTTATACTAACACTGCTTCATAGAGATTCTAGTACCCCCCCATTTGTTCGTGTAAGGGGGAACATCCTAGGCTTTAGAGGTGATGGTGGGATGGGGTCCACTGTAGTGCTCTAAACCCTAAACCCTAAACCCTAAACCCTAAACCCTAAACCCTAAACCCTAAACCCTAAACCCTAAACCCTAAACCCTAAACCCTAAACCCTAAACCCTAAACCCTGGTGCAGAAACCATGTTGGGTACCATTACAGTGGTGCTCTTAGCGGAATTTCTGGGATGAGTCAGTCACAGCGCTCTGGTCGCGAAGCTTCAGCCTTGACGAGGGTTTAGGGTTTAGGGTTTAGGGTTTAGGGTTTGGGGTTTAGGGTTTAGGGTTTAGGGTTTAGGCCTTTTCATGTCTCTGGGCGCTCCGGAGGCGGGGGTGTCAAGCACAGCAGCTGGACGGAAGCCCGGTCCCCAGATCTCGTGGTTGGGCGCTTGGGGGTGGGGGGGGGGTATGGGGTTTAGGGGGTTTAGGGTTTAGGGTTTAGGGTTTAGGGTTTCAGGGTGCTTCTCTAGCCCTTTTGGACATACATGTCTTCTTGTTGATCTCAAGCTCAAGGGGAATACTTCAAAATCCTCTTCTTTTGACCATGGCCCCTTAGGAAGCCCCCCCCCCCCCACCCTGGTGCTTCATACAGAACTCCGGAGCTTACCTGCTTTAGGGCGACCTCATCCCAAAAGCTACCGTTAGAAGCACTGCGGCCCTAAACCCCCCAACTCACCACCCCAAACCCTGAAACCCTGAAGCCTGCATCTTCCCCTCTCCTAATGAGGCGCGCAAGTCTGGGGAGCCCTTGCCGGCCCGGCCCCCATCACAAAGTCCGGGGGTTAGGGTGCAGGGCCTGCAGGTTTTAGGGTTTGGGGTCTTTTAGGGTTTAGGGTTGCTCCCAAGGTTAGGAGTATATATATATATATATATGGGCCCTTCATATGGCCCCTTACCTCAGGGGTCCCCTTTTAAGGGCCCATACTAAGGGACCATGCAACTACCCGAAGACCACGTCTTGGTCTAACTCCTCAGGCGCGGCACCACTGGCGCCCTTGTCTCTCGTTCTTGGCGCCCACCTCCCTGGAAGCAGGCAGAGCCGGAGAGCTGTAACCAGGGAGTCTTCAGTTGCGCCTGATACACCATTTAGGGTCGAGGATCTTATACAGGGCGGAGCGGTTTTGGGTCGTAAGGCTTTCGAGGCGCTTGTGGCGGTTTGTGCTGGTTTGTGCGGTGTTTTTTTTTTTTTTTTGTGTGTGTTTTTTTTTGCGCTCCCTGTCAAGTCTGAAGGCAACAATGCAAAGATCTGCGTGCAGAGACCTGCTCTAGGAGAAGAGAGAGATCAGGGCCCCACGTGGCATCTCAAAACAGGGAACGGAGTTTTGCAGCTTGACCGATCTGATCCATCCGCAGATCTGCGCGGCGATTCAAAAAACTGACCGTCGTTGATCACCGCACCGCGTAACTACTTGCAAAAACCCTAACCCTAAACCCTAAATCCTAAACCCTAAACCCTAAACCCTAAACCCTAAACCCTAAACCCTAAACCCCTAAACCCCCAAACCCCAAACACCTCTCAACTCTCCGCTCAGGGAGGCTTCGGGGGCCTCTGAACCCTAAACCCTAAACCCAAAACCCTAAACCCTAAACCCTAAACCCTAAACCCTAAACCCTAAACCCCAAACCCGAAACCAACAGGTGCCGAAGTGACGGTTGTCGCCGCCCATGACGACGCTGGGGCGTTGATGCTTAGGAAAGATGTTGAGGATTTCCGAAGCGTTTGGGGCTTTAAGGTTTTCGGGTTTTCGGGTTTTCAGGGTTTTGGGGTCTTCTGGTTTAGGCTCTATGGGTCGAGTGCCCAGTATAGCCCAACATGTACGCATCGCAGCAAATTTTTCGCCCCGCCCGCCCAAGGATGAGGGGGTCTGGTTTGCCTGGCCGACTCCAGATGACAGCGCTCGGCAAGTAAGCACTCTAAGCCTTGAACCAAAAACCCTAAACCCCCAAACCCCATTCCCTTTTCTCGCGGTGAGTTGAGACTTGGCTTTCTGGGACACTTTGGGTTTTCCTTTTCTTTAGATTTCCTTCTCCCTAGTTCCGTTTCGGCACCTGATTGAAGGGTTTCAGTCCTTCCCCTTTGGCTTGTTTACATGGGAACTGCCAATGCTCCACATTGGACTGCGGCACCCTATGCCGGCTTGGGTTTGGCCCCTGTGCGTTTGCTTGTTGTTCGAGAGCGTTGAGCAGTGACACGTGGTGGCACCCAACAGAAGCGCGATCGTTTCTTTAACTCGCCAATCCATATGCTCCTTCCGCGGCGCAACACATGATAGTGTTGGGCACAACGCGCACTGCGGCGCCTTTCTTGAAACAATAAACCCCTGAACCCCAAACCCAAACCCGAAACCCAGCTAAACACTCCAAGGTGTCCCCTCCCGCTGGCTGCCGGGAATCACGGCGATCCCTCCGGAACGGGAAAGGCTGCTCATCGTGGCGTGGGCTGCACATTGGAATGAATCTAAGGTCTCTGGGGGTTGTGTCATCGTGGAGGATGGATGCCGATGTCAGAAAAACATGTATTCATGAACAAAAAGCAAATACGTATATATATATATATATATACATATATGAGAGAGGGACCTTTATGTACTATGTTGCCACTGTTCTTTTCTTTATATATTAATTATAAGATTCATTTAAATAATTGAGTAAATTAAGTGAGCTCAAGAATTCAATTAGTTCAAATGTTTGAATTCTTTGAATTCTTGGGGAGGCCCAAGAATTCAAAGAATTCAAATGTTTGAATTCTTTGAATTCTTGGGCCTCCCCAAGAATTCAAAGAATTCAAATAATTGAATGCTTTGAATTGCGTGCCCTCAGCCAGACCATTTAAATAATTCAAAGAATCTAAAGAATTCAAAGAATTCAAATGTTTGAATTCTTTGAATTCTTGGGGAGGCCCAAGAATTCAAAGAATTCAAAGAATTCTAACATTTGAATTCTTTGAATTCTTGGGCCTCCCCAAGAATTCAAAGAATTCTAACATTTCAATTCTTTGAATTCCGTGCCCTCAGCCAGACCATTTAAATAATTCAAAGAATCTAAAGAATTCAAAGAATTCAAATATTTGAATTCTTTGAATTCTTGGGGAGGCCCAAGAATTCAAAGAATTCAAACATTTGAATTCTTTGAATTCTTGGGGAGGCCCAAGAATTCAAAGAATTCAAACATTTGAATTCTTTGAATTCCGTGCCCTCAGCCAGACCATTTAAATAATTCAAAGAATCTAAAGAATTCAAAGAATTCAAATATTTGACTTCTTTGAATTCTTGGGCCTCCCCAAGAATTCAAAGAATTCAAACATTTGAATTCTTTGAATTCTTGGGCCCCCCCAAGAATTCAAAGAATTCAAACATTTGAATTCTTTGAATTCTTGGGCCCCCCCAAGAATTCAAAGAATTCAAATGTTTGTATTCTTTGAATTCTTGGGCCTCCCCAAGAATTCAAAGATTTCGAACATTTGAATTCTTTGAATTCTTTGAATTCTTTGAATTATTGAAATGGTCTGGCTGAGGGCACGGGATTAAAGATTTCAAACATTTGAATTCTTTGAATTCTTGGGGAGGCCCAAGAATTCAAAGAATTCAAACATTTGAATTCTTTGAATTCTTTGAATTCTTGGGCCCCCCCAAGAATTCAAAGAATTCAAATGTTTGTATTCTTTGAATTCTTGGGCCTCCCCAAGAATTCAAAGAATTCAAACATTTGAATTCTTTGAATTCTTTGAATTCTTTGAATTATTGAAATGGTCTGGCTGAGGGCACGGGATTAAAGATTTCAAACATTTGAAGTCTTTGAATTCTTGGGGAGGCCCAAGAATTCAAAGAATTCAAACATTTGAATTCTTTGAGTTCTTTGAATTCTTGGGCCCCCCCAAGAATTCAAAGAATTCAAATGTTTGTATTCTTTGAGTTCTTGGGCCTCCCCAAGAATTCAAAGAATTCAAACATTTGAATTCTTTGAATTCTTTGAATTCTTTGAATTCTTTGAATTCTTTGAATTATTGAAATGGTCTGGCTGAGGGCACGGGATTAAAGATTTCAAACAGTTGAATTCTTTGAATTCTTGGGGAGGCCCAAGAATTCAAAGAATTCAAACATTTGAATTCTTTGAATTCTTTGAATTCTTGGGCCTCCCCAAGAATTCAAAGAATTCAAACATTTGAATTCTTTGAATTCTTGGGCCCCCCCAAGAATTCAAAGAATTCAAACATTTGAATTCCTTCCTTGCGGAAGGGGCAATAGCGCTATCAGTGACGCTTCCCCGTAGCTGTGTGTGGGACTGCTGCGTGCGCGCGCAGTAGGCTCAGGGGTGCCACCGCTTGATTTGGCCGCAAGCGGTCTCTGGCGCGCCAGGGGCAGACCAACCCACACATCCTTTCCTTTCCTCTTTTTTTTTTTTTTTCTTCTGTCGTTCGTCGATCTTGCTCTTGGTTGCCGTCTTGACTGCCTACATTTGGGCTCCAGCGTGGCCTCTGGGCTATGGCGCGCACGTGTAACCGCAGGGGTTGCGGCAGGCAAGTTAGCCATGCAAGGTTCAGGCTTGGACTGTATACTTGCGCCGTTCATGGACGGATGCTGGCCTTGGGGCGCCCTACTTCCCGTACGCCTCTGCGACACATTTGCTCGCACGCACGTTGTTCCTGCCGCCTCAGCAATGAGCGGCGGGAGCTGGGTGTGAAAACATGTTGGCGCCATGGTGGCCCCATGCCAGGGAGGGTGTCCACTGCTTTAGCCCGGCGACTGGCAGTTTTGGAGGCCTTTGCTGGTCACTTGACTGACCCGGCGCCACCTTCTCTGCACGTGGCCCCATGGGGGCCTCTGCCCCGTGACAGGCCTGAACTGGAGCAGCTCCTCAATGTGCTTGTGCTCCGGCGCACAGGCTTATCTTCCTCAGTCTTGGGCTGGCTCACGGAATGGCAGCCGGAGCGCCTCTTGAACCTTCTCTGCAAGCGCGCCATGAGAGGATGGACGCAACTTCCTCTCCCGCATTGCGCAGCCCACCGCAATGCCTTCAGCAAAGCTGCAGTTGCAAAGGACAAGGCTGCAATTCATACTCAGTTATCCGCAGCAATCATCGATCCTATCGGCGCTCTATGGAAGAAACGGGAGCTCGTAATGCAGCTGGTGAACGGCCCAACTTGGTTCCCTATCTTGGTACTGATTGCCGGCACGTATGGCCATGGCTATTTCTGGGCAAGTGTGATTGCTTTTGATCTTCGCACCCAGCGGATTGCTACGGCTTTCCCTAGAGATAGAATGACCTTTTGTGGGTTCGGACCTGGCGGGCTTCGAGGGCTTAATAGAGTCCTTAGGCGGCCTCCCTACGCGCCCATTGAGCCCGCAGTAGCTTTGGCGTGGGCTCACTATCTGTCCGCTGCCGTACGGTGGCCCATTCCTAAGCCCGAAGCATATCTGGTTCAGTGGTTCCTTTGTGAATACTCCCAGGCCCCTGCAGCCCTGGACTTTGCAGGTTAAAAATCTCCAGCGCGCAACAAGCGAGCGTCTGAAAACAGCTGCCTGCTCTGCTTTCATGGGCAGCGGTACGTGTGGATGTGCATTGGGCGCTGTGCGAGTGTGTGTGTGTGTGTGTGTGTGTGTGTGTGTGTGTGTGTCTGTCTGTGTGGCCTGTTTTTTTTTTCTCTTCTTTTCTTTTTCTTGTTGTGTTCCCTGCGTCCTCGGGTCTTTCCCTGCGGGGGGCTAGACGCGTGCGCCGTGGCCACGCTGGCCCCTTGCTGCCGTCGGTTGTCCTCCTCCTTTTTTTTTTTTCTTCTTTTTCTTTCTTTCTCTTTCTTTCTTTCCCTCCCCGTCCGGGTTTTGGTGGCGTCTCCTGCGTACTCAGGTCCTAACCAGCGGGGGGCTGGATGCGTGTGCCGGTGGCCACGCCGGTCCCCTGCTGCCGTTGGTTGGTTGGTTTTTTTTTTTGTGTGTTTTTTTTTGGTTTCGTTTTGTTTCCTCTCTGTCTTTCTTTCTTTCTTTCTTTCTTTCTTCCTCTCCTTCCCTCTTCCCGTCCGGGCTTTCGTTGCGTATCCTGCGTACTAAGGTCCCTTTCAGCGGGGGGCTGGATGCGTGTGCCGGTGGCCACGCCGGTCCCCTGCTGCCGTTCGTCGTTCCCTTCTCCCCCCCCTTGTGTGTGTTTTTTTTTTGGTTTTTGTCTTCTTTCTTTCCCTTTTCCCTCCTCTCTGTTTCGTTGCGTCTCCTGCGTACTAAGGTTCCTTCAGCGGGGGGCTGGATGCGTGTGCCGGTGGTCACGCCGGTCCCCTGCTGCCGTCCGTCGTTCCCTCCCCCCCCTTTTTTTTTTTTGTCTTCCTTCTTTCCCTTTTCCCTCCTCTTTCTTTCGTTGCGTCTCCTGCGTACTTAGGTTCCTTCAGCGGGGGGCTGGATGCGTGTGCCGGTGGCCACGCCTGTCCCCTGCTGCCGTTGGTTGGTTGGTGTTTTTTTTTTGTGTTCGGTTTTGTTTCCTTTCTGTCTTTCTTTCTTTCTTTCTTTCTTTCTTCCTCTCCTTCCCTCTTCCCGTCCGGGCTTTCGTTGCGTGTCCTGCGTACTAAGGTCCCTTTCAGCGGGGGGCTGGATGCGTGTGCCGGTGGCCACGCCGGTCCCCTGCTGCCGTTCGTCGTTCCCTTCTCCCCCCCCCCTTGTGTTTTTTTTGTTTTTTTTTTGGTTTTGTTTTCTTTCTTTCCCTTTTCCCTCCTCTCTCTTTCGTTGCGTCTCCTGCGTACTAAGGTTCCTTCAGCGGGGGGCTGGATGCGTGTGCCGGTGGTCACGCCGGTCCCCTGCTGCCGTCCGTCGTTCCCTCCCCCCCTTTTTTTTTTTTTTTGTTCCCTTTTCCCTCCTCTTTTCCTTCGTTGCGTCTCCGCCGTACTAAGGTTCCTTCACGGGGGGCTGGATGCGTGTGCCGGTGGCCACGCCGGTCCCCTGCTGCCGTCGGTTGTTTTTTTTTTTTTTGGTTTTTTTTTGTTGTTTTGTTCGGTTTTGTTTCCTCTCTGTCTTTCTTTCTTTCTTCCTCTCCTTCCCTCTTCCCGTCCGGGCTTTCGTTGCGTATCCTGCGTACTAAGGTCCCTTTCAGCGGGGGGCTGGATGCGTGTGCCGGTGGCCACGCCGGTCCCCTGCTGCCGTTCGTCGTTCTCTCCCCCCCCCTTTTTTTTTTTTTTTTTTTTTTTTTTTTTTTTTTTTTTTTTCTTCTTTTCTCTTTCTCTGCCGGCAGCATGTGGTCGCTGCAAGCGGGAGTACCGGGCCGTGGTGAGGAAGCTGGTTAGGCCTCCCATTCTGAGAAGCTCCCGCCCGGTCCGGGAAGCTGGCTGGGCCCGCCGAGCATGGATAATCACGCAGTCATTGCTTCAGTGAAATCGCCTCAGGATGGCAATCCTGGCTCGGTTTTATTTTTCTTTTGGGTATTTCTTCCTTCCTTCCTTCCTTCCCTGGGCCGCTTTG